GTGTGTGTGTGAGAGAGAGAGAGAGAGAGAGAAGGTTGGATGATTCTACAAAAATCATCTCAACCGTTGAAGACCAACACGTAGACGGTGGTGATGAAAATTTATAGAGTCGTTTGTGCTCTGTTTGGCTAAAAACAAAAAAACAAAAAAAAAAAGAATAAAGTATAATATTGACTATTCATTTTATTTTGGTGATTGTTTATTTTTTATATGTAGTTCAAAAATTTTATTAAATATGTAGTGATATGTTTTTTGGTAAGGTGAATTATATTTAATTTTTTTTTCCAATTTTTCAATTTTTTTTTTCATTTTTTATATTTGTCTAGTCAGGAATAATATAAATATATATATATTTTTCAAACAGTTAAAAAAGGTCACAAAAGACAAAAAATTAACAAAATAAAATCACAAAAAAACCTATATCCAAACAATACCTATAAACTTGAAGGGAAAGTTGATTGAGATTTACTAAAATAACAAATGACCATTAGAGCACCGTTGCTATAATTTGACAAAATAATACTATTCATTATCAAATTATAGTAATAATAATAATAATATAGCAATAACTATCTAGTCAGGAATAATATAAATATATATATATATTTTTCAAACAGTTAAAAAAGGTCACAAAAGACAAAAAATTAACAAAAATAAAATCACAAAAAAATCTATATCCAAACAATACCTATAAACTTGAAGGGAAAGTTGATTGAGATTTACTAAAATAACAAATGACCATTAGAGCACCGTTGCTATAATTTGACAAAATAATACTATTCATTATCAAATTATAGTAATAATAATAATAATATAGCAATAACTATTAGAGATGCCCTAAGGGATTAAATTAGAGAGTTTATGTGATAGTTTTTTAATGTCTCGTTTGTCAATCAAGTTTAATAATACACATTCAAAGTAATCGATAAAGTCTGCATTACAATCAATCAAAATTCTTAGTTGTTTAAAAAAAGAGTAATGCTATACATCACTAATTTGCCACCCACTGCTACGTCATTAGAGTCACCACTAATTAGTGGTCTAAAGCATTTTTGTTAAAAAAAATAAAAAATAAAAAGAATGGTTGATCTTTAGTCCGGATATGATTTAGGATCCGCTTATTTTTAGAATTAGATTATTAATGTGAGAATTATTAGTGAAAGAATTAAAAAAGCTTATATTTATTTGATGATTATTGGATTAGTAAGAATTTATGTTTATTTTGTTATTATGGCTTCGTTTGGAAAGACAAGTTAGGTTGGGTTTGGGATTATTTTAGGTACAAAAAAATAAAATAAATTTTTTAGTCTAATAAAACAAAACATCATATGTAACCCATAATTATTATATTATTTCTCTCACAAAAAGTAAAAAAAGTCAAAAAGTTATTCTCAAACGAGACTTTTTAACCCTAAGCTAAAATAGTAAAAAAATCAAAAAGCTATCCCACTTCCCAAACGAACCCTATATGATGAGATTAATTATGTAAAATTTTATAAATATCCTTGGTGTTTTTGATATATTTAATATTAAAAATTATATTTTGATATTATATTAAAAAAATTATATTAAATTATTTATAAAATGAGGGATAAAACACACATTTCATTTCTAATCTCATAGAATTGGGTTTGTGTGCCACATTCTCAGGAATTGTTAGTCCTCTCGTTAGAAGGCATTTCTAATGGCATGAGATTCTTAATCCGTAGTTAGTCTCATGACCATTTCTTTTGAACATAATTTTAACAATAATGCATGAGATCACTAATTAGAGCTACAACTAATGATGCACCCATTGCCATTTCTTCTTCTTTTTTTTCTTTTTTTTTTTTTCATTTTCCACCTCACTAGTGGTGGATTTAGAGCTCATTATATAGAGCTCTAAATCATTACTGTAATTTTAATGGTTCCCACCTCTATGTTAAATAAATAAATAAAATTTATTAGTAATATTATGAATTTATACTTAATTATTGAAAAATTATTTAAAATTATCATTCTATAGTTTAAATTTATTATATATATAAATTATATATTACACAAATTTAATTTCCACTACACAATTTCATTCAAAAAGTTATGCTAGAGTCCCCAAATAATCTACTAAATTTTTTATCAAGCCTCTCACATGTGTGTGTGACCTATACATATGTGGGTTTGTGTGGGTCATACAGGGGTGTAATTTTGGCCCGCGGCCCGAGGTGGGCCCGGCCTATTAAAGCCCGAGCCCAAGACCAGTCTGTGGCCTTGGACCAGGGCCTGGGCCATCGTTTTGAAGCCCGGCCCGACCCATATGTCCACTCAAGGCCCGGCCCACCCGAGGCCCAGTGTTATTTTTAATAGAAAATAATAAAATTTTGATAGAAAAAATTTTTAAAAAAATTAAAAAAATTGTTTAGGCCCGCCTAAAGGCCGAATACCCCTAGACTTGGGCTTGGGCCTAGGCCTAGTTTTCTGACCCATGGGCCAACCCCGCCCAGCCCGGCCCGGACCAATTTTTTGGCGGGAGCCCGCAAGGCTCGACATGGGCCTAACCCGGCCCGAGCCTGGATAGGCCGGGCCGGGCCAAAATTACAACCCTAGGGTCATATACCCATGTGAGAGGTGTCGAATAAAATTTAATAGATTATTCGGGGATTTGGGATAGTTACTGTGCGAGAGCATACAACAGCCACTGTTTTGCAAATGGGCCCATTTCGAGGCCTATTTCGACAATTCGAACCGTTCATATTTTAGAATACATCAAGTAAAATATATTGCAAAAAATCAAGTTAATCGGATATCGTTTACCCTTTTATCCACTCACATTTGCATTCATTTTAATATTTTAAATCACAATTGTTATTTATTTTTGTAAATATAAATGTGATTTGATGAATGAGTAAACGATATCCGATTAATTTAATTTTTTATAGATACATTTTATTTGATATATTTTAAAATATGAACGGTTTGAATTATCATTTAACTGTCCAATAATAATTACTGTACATTCCCACACATCAGCCATCCCAAATCCATTTTTTGAGATGTATAATATTTTCTTGGGTGAATTATACTAACGATCCTTATAGTTTGGGACTTGTGTTACTTTAGTCCTAACTTTTCAATTGTGACACATTTGACCTTAAATTTTGAATCTTGTTCCAAATAAAGACAATTGAATATATTATTGTTTAATTTCAAGGACAAAATAGTCAATTTGATAAAATATAAACTAATTTGATAAAAATAAATGTCAAAAAAATGTTTTTTAATATTTAAAAATTATTTCTACCTACTAAAGATAAAATTATGTAAAATTGATAAATCTTTCAGACATTTATTTATTTATGTCAAATTAATTTTTATTATGTGTTTAGATGATGATCACGTAAAGTTAAGCAAAATCTTTAATATTTTATTAAATATTTCATTTTTATTAAGTTAGTTTATATTTTATGTAAAATAAATGACATTTATTAGATGATGATCATATAATTTTTCATGAGATTTATTAGAAATAATTTTAAAATCTGTTTTTCACATTTATTTTTGTTAAGTTAGTTTTATTTTATCAAATTGAAGATTTTGTCCTTAAAATTAAATAATTGTATCTTTAATTGTCCTTATTTGAAAGAAGATTCAAAATTTAAAGTCAAATGTGTCACAATTGAAAAGTTAAGAACCAAAAAAATATTTTAAAATTTTTAAAAATTATTTCTACCCATCAAAGATATAATTATGTAAAATTGATAAATTTTTTAGACATTTATTTATTTATTTATTTTAGAAAATTAATTTTTATTATGTGTTTGGATGATGACCCTGTAATGGGTGATTGTTAAGATTATAATGTGTAATCAATATATTTAGTATACGAAATGTTTTTAGTTTTAGATTTTTTGATTTAATAGATTGGTTTAATAATGAAATTAAAGTTGTTACCATATTTGACATTTGAAAAAATAGAAACTAATTTAATGAAAATAAAAACTACCCATTACATGATCATCATTTAAACACACAATAAAAATTAATTTGATATAAATAAATAAATATCTAAAATATTTATTAATTTTACATAATTTTGTCTTTAGTGGATAGAAATAATTTTTAAATATTTAAAAATATTTCTTGTCATTTATTTTTATCAAATTAATTTATATTTTATCAAATTGACAATTTTGCTCTTGAAATTAAGCAATAATATATTCAATTGTTCTTATTTAAAATAAAATTCAAAATTCATGATCAAATGTGTTACAATTGAAAAATTAAGAACTAAAAGTGACACAACTCCCCAACTATAAGATTCGGCAATGTAATTTATCATATTTTCTTTTTTTTCAAAAAAAACTAGAAATGAGAAGTGGGTCCCACGCCTTCTGGGATGCATGGCACTTTGGCGTACATACCCCTTCCATTTTAAATTTTTTCATTTAATAAATTAGTTTAATAATGATATTAAAGAACATTTGAAAAAATAGAAATTAATTTAATGAAAATAAAAATTACCTATTACATGATCATCATTTAAATACATAATAAAAATTAGTTTGATATAAATAAATAAATATCTAAAATATTTATTAATTTTACATAATTTTATCTTTAGTGGATAGAAATAATTTTTAAATATTTAAAAATATTTTTTGACATTTATTTTTATCAAATTAATTTATATTTTATCAAATTGATAATTTTACTCTTGAAATTAAGTAATAATATATTCAATTATTTTTATTTAGAATAAAATTCAAAATTCAGGATCAAATATGTTATAATTAAAAAGTTAGAGACTAAAAATGACACAACTTCCAAACTATAGGGATCGTCAGTGTAATTTATTATATTTTCTTTTAAAAAATAAAAACTAGAAAATTTACTTTTGGAGTTGAGAAGTGGGTCCCACGCGTTGTAGGGTGCATGGCACTTTGGCGTATATAGCCCCTCTCTCTCTCTCTCTCTCATCATAATGGTGTACTCCAAACAGGGGCTATATATACGCACACTTGTTGCAAGTTTAAATTAGAGCAAGCCCATACTATTTACACCTCTCTTTCTCTTCTCTCTCTTTGAGAAAGTAGGTTTAGAGAGCTTCTTCTTGAGAGCAACAATGGCTGTACTCATGGTGGTCCTTGGTGTTTGTTTGGGACTGATCTGTGTCTGTACAGCTCTGTTGAGATGGAATGAAGTCAAGTACCGGAAGAAGAAAGGCTTGCCTCCTGGTACTATGGGTTGGCCTCTCTTTGGGGAGACCACTGAGTTCCTTAAACAAGGTCCTAATTTCATGAAAAACCAAAGAGCAAGGTAAATTACTCTTTCATGGATCTTTTCTCTCTTGCTTACATGGATTTTATTGGTGCTGTCTCTGTTTCAATATAGTTCTCTGTTTCTTTTCATACTCTGTTAATTTGTAATTTTTATATGATATTTTGGAGGGTTCTTGCTAGTTTTGTAGATGGACAATCACAGCCCACTTTAAAACCAACAAACCCTTACTGATCACAAGTGATTTCACCATGCTATGATTTTAAATAACAGTACCAGAATATATATACATATATATAGGCTGATATCAATTGGAACTTGTAATCATGAAAAATTATCTTTGTATTTTGTGTTGTAATCTTGTATTAATGATTGGTTAATCTGTCGATCACAGTGATTTCACCATGCTATGATTTTAAATAACAGTATCGGAATATATATCTATATCATAGTCATACATATAGGCTGATATCAATTGGAACTGGCAATCATGAAAAATTGTCTTTGTATTTTGTGTTGTAAACTTGTATTAATGATTGGTTAATCTGTGAGTAATGGCAGGTATGGAATTTTTTTCAAATCCCACATATTGGGTTGCCCTACAATTGTTTCAATGGATCCAGAATTAAACAGATACATACTCATGAATGAGGCAAAAGGTCTTGTTCCAGGGTATCCACAGTCCATGCTTGACATCTTAGGCAAATGCAACATTGCAGCTGTCCATGGCTCCACTCACAAGTACATGAGAGGGGCACTGCTTGCTCTGGTTAGCCCTTCCATGATCAGAGACCATCTCTTGCCGAAAATCGATCTGTTCATGAGATCCCACCTCAGCGATTGGAATCAAAAAGTCATTGACATTCAAGAAAAAACCAAAGAGGTTTGATTCAATTCTCGAAAAAACGCATTCTATCATTTATATGTGTACATTTAATTAACAATAGAATTAAAGTCAGCCTGGTAGGACCCACATATACTGTATAGACTGTATTCACGTGTATATTCTTAATACTTTTCTGCAATTTAATTTTGCGTCCGTAAATTTTATCAAATGTTTACATGGGTGTGAGACTTACGCAATATGAATCCCATGTGATTCCACACCCATACGACACATTTAGTAGAATTTTTGATAAAATTTTTAAAATCTCTGACCTTACTCATTTTCCTCTGTTTTAACATACTTGTGTTGTTTTGCATTTTATGTTCAGATGGCACTTCTCTCTTCGCTCAACCAAATTGCCGGTATTCAATCTGTCTCAATGTCTCAAGAATTCATGCCTGAATTCTTTAAGCTAGTGTTAGGAACCCTCTCGCTTCCGATCAACCTTCCTGGCACAAACTACCACCGGGGTTTTCAGGTAAATTGCCTGCAATTTTTTTAAAATTTTCATCGTGTCCTATTAACACACTAATCAATCACCAAGGATCCTCTAGAGTTTTTTTTCCAAGTGGTGTGTTGTATGGGTGAGATTTAATGTTAAAAAATTAATGTGACTTGTCATTAAATCTCAATCATACAACACACCACTCTAAGAAACTCTAGAAAAAAAAAAACTCTAGAGGATCCTTACTCCTAATCAATGCTCTCAACATAGTGTTAACACGATTTTCTAGAAATATTTTTTGGTACTTTGGCATGTATGTGATGTGACTGATATGTGTCACAGGCAAGGAAGAATATCATCAGCATGCTGGGAAGACTATTGAATGAGAGAAGAGATTCCAAAGAAACCCAACATGACATGCTTGATGTCCTGATGAATGGTGATGAAAACAGATATAAACTAAGTGATGAAGAGATCATTGATCAAATGATCACAATTTTGTATTCTGGGTACGAGACTGTTTCGACTACTTCAATGATGGCTGTCAAGTACCTTCATGACCACCCTGATGTTCTTCAAGAACTAAGAGTGAGTCCCAAACATACTTCTCTATCTCCCAAATCTCATCAAAATCTCAAAACATGAAAATTAATCTAATTGGGGTTTTAATTTTTTATTTTTTTTTTTTTTCAGAAAGAACACTTGGCAATCAGAGAAAAGAAAAGACCAGAGGATCCAATTGACTGGGAAGATTACAAGTCGATGCGATTTACGCGGGCTGTAAGTATTTTGAGATATTGAGGATGACTAGTACTCCTAATTTGCAATTTTAGATCAAAAAGTTCTGAAAAATTAAGTTAACTGTGGTGTTAATTGGGTACAGGTGATCTTTGAGACATCAAGATTAGCTACAATTGTTAATGGGGTTTTAAGGAAGACAACTCGAGACATGGAAATGAATGGTAAGTCAGAGGATATATTATTATGTCTTTCGGTTCTGTCTTTAGAGGTCTTGAGGGGCTCAATGAGCTGTTTTATAACACTTTTTTTTTTTTTTTTGGAAGTTTTACTTTGTGGTTGAATTTTTGATTTGTTAAAAATAAATCAAATTATTAATATTAATTTTTATCCGTAAGTAAACAAAAATGGTTTTTTTAATTACATTTTCATTCCTTTTCTTTTTTATTTTTCAAACTATCAAAAAAAAAAAAGAAAAATCTACTTCATTTTCTTTTGGTATTTTTGTTCCTTTTTTTTCTTCCACAATTTTAATAGTTTAAGTACAGTCTTAATTAAACAGAACAACAATATTACATATTCAAAAGAAAAAAAAAAAATAAAAATATACATTTGGTGGATTACAATTATTTTGGGTTTGACCCACATCTACATCATATAACTTAATTTCGATATAATTTTCCATATAAAATTTATGATGGATAGCATTTTTCCAAACTAAAAAATGTTAAAACATATAATGGAATTTAGATCAAAGTCTCCAGTGAGAACCGACCCTACCATATCAGGATCCACATGGGATACCAACCATTCCAGCCAGAACATTCTATGTCAATGACCCGCCACTTGTAAAGTGAAGAATAATTCAAATTATGATTATAAACAACACAGTTAGTTCAATTTTTATTTAATTCATTATTGATTCCTCCAATTTCGATGGTGTCTTGATGGGCCACATATAGTTTAAGGTAATTAACAAATATTTAATCTCTCTATCTTTCAGGATTTATTATTCCCAAAGGATGGAGAATCTATGTTTATACAAGAGAGATTAATTACGACCCGTGTTTATATCCTAACCCATTAACCTTCAACCCGTGGAGATGGATGGTAAGCATTCACAAATTCTTCACTATACTACAAACACAAATTTTTCACAGAATAACACACAGAATGCAGTGTTGCCGACACTACGGAAAAAAAAAGAAAAAAAGAAAAAAAGAAAAAAATTATGATTCTAGAATTATATTTTGGAAAAATCATAATTGTAGGCATGAATGATAAATGCAGGATAAAAGCACAGAGTCTCAGAACTACTTGTTCATATTTGGAGGAGGGACTAGGCAGTGTCCAGGAAAGGAATTGGGAATAGCAGAAATTTGTACATTCCTTCATTATTTTGTTACTAGTTACAGGTAAATATACCCATTAATTTGAATGGAAAAATACAAGTCTAGAATATAGTTAAATTAATTAATTAATTTTTTAAATTTGATTTGTTGTTTTGAATGCAGATGGGAAGAAGTTGGGGGAGATAAGCTAATGAAATTTCCAAGAGTGGAAGCACCAAATGGGTTGCATATTAGAGTTTCAAGTTACTAGACTGACTGACCTTTTGTTATGTACATAAAGAGATATAGGATATCAAAGAGGAACATGCAGAGATGCACAATAATAATGTTCTAACCAGATTAGAGATTCAGAGTAAAATCGGGATTTTGGCAATTTGAGAAAGTTCGAATGTTTTGTTGCATGTTTATGCACTTAAATAACAAAATAATCAAAGGAAATAAGTAAGTGATAATAATAAAAATATAAAATTTGAAATGAATCTAATTAGAGGTTTACCCAATTCAAATTAAAAATAAATAAATAAATAAAAATGAAGGTGTCCCAAATTGAAAACAAACAGATCCATGAAAAAATAAGCCTACTTAACGGGCCAGACTGGATTTAAGCCCAGGGCTTGTAGGTATTTTGATTCATATGGGCATATGGGTTTCAAGCCGATGTTGGCCAATATGGGCTAGGCTATTATGGACTTTAATTCAGATTTTATTATTAATATTTTCAAAATTTATTAGAAAAAAAATAAAAATTAGAATATAAAATTTGATGTGCATTACTATAATTATATTTTCATATTAAATTACAAAATAAAAAAAAAATAACTTTATTTATTGGAATATTAAAATTACATCCACTATGATTATTTTATTAAATTGTATGCAATTTTAATCTGATGAAAATATAGCTAATAATTTCATAGTTGTCATACTATTTTAGTTTCTGAATTTTAATCGTATTGACTTACTAAAAATGCACAAGTACACACACATACAAAAAAATAAACAATAAAAAATTGAGAAAGAAAAAAGAAAAAGAAAAAAAATAGTACACATTATTTAGTGTAAGCGAAGTTTATGGCTGAGATTATTATTATTATTATTTATTTTTATTTTTATTTTTTGCATAAAGAGAGTAGCACTGCCGTTATATGATGAAATCACATTTGGGATTTAGAACTAGAAATAGAAATAAGGCATATAAGTAAAAAGGATACCTCTTCTATTTCTGGGCTTATGTAAGTCAAGGATCAGCCCACAACTAAGAACCCATTTGAGAGAGAAAGAAATCCAGAGTAAGCCTAATCTGGAAGAAAAGTGGGCTTACCAAGCAAGCTGTTGCTATTGGATCAGCAGCATAAAAAACAACCCACCCAGAAAGTCCAACGCAGTTTTTGCCTATAGCTAATAATTTTGTTGCACCCATTATCATTGGGGTGTTTGTTTCAACTTTTTTTTAAACTAACTTCTAACTTTTAATTTTGAAAAAGTTATTTTAAATTGTTTGGTTAAATTTATTTCAAACAGTTTCTGATTCTAATAGTTTATTTTAACTCAAAAAAGTTGATTATGAGAAGCTGTTCACCCTTGTTTTTGATTATCAGCTTCTACTGTGGATATGTTAATTTATGGTTATACTTTTTTTATTTTTTATTTTTTTAAAAATAAAAAAAAGACCCAAATGGACTATAGATTATTGTTATTATTTTTTATGTGAAATGTAGACAAACAAAAAATAAAAATTAATTGAAAAAGCTATTTCACAACTTATTTAATAAATACTACCCAGCAACTTAAATTTATAATCCAATAATTACACCAAACAGATTAACAACTTCTGATTAAAGTCATAATGTATAATCTGTTAAGTTATAATGTATAAGTTATTTTAACAGTTACACCAAACGAGGCCAATAGGTAACAAAGTTAAATAATTAATTAAAATCTTGTGTGCTAGCTAAATTGGCCAATCGTAGCTGTCTAGGTAGCGTTTGGTAACGTTTACGTTTTTTGTTTATGTTTACAAAAATTTTATAAACTGGTTTTTGTTTATTTTTAGAAAAACATAAATTACAAACGCGTTTGGTTTGAACAAAATGTTTAAAAAATTTTAAAAACATAAACTAAAAAATATGTTTGTTCAGACCTAAAATATTTATATTTATATTTATTTTTATTATTTATGACAATGGGATCACACTCATTATAATTGAAAAAAAATTATTGGAAAAAATATTAATTGGAAAAAAATGAAAAAAAAATTAATTAAAAAAATTATTGAAAATAATTTAATTGGGAAAAAAATTTAATTGAAAAAAAATATTAATTGAAAAAAATTATTTGAAAGAAAATAATTGAAAAAAGAATTACTTGAAAAAAAAATTATTTGAAAAAAAATTGATAACTGAAAACGTAAACTCATTTTTTGAGTTTACGTTTTTTCCTCAAATTTATAAACTGAGACAACCATTTATAAATCAATAAAATTATCAAACAAGTTTTAATGACAGTTTTTTAAATTTTTGTAAATATAAACTGAAAACTGAAAACGGAATGGTTACCAAACAGACCACTAGTGTCTACATAACATATCTACTTTTTTTTTTGCCTAATTATTGCGTACAATATCTCACGTTAAATTATTTTTTCCCTATAATCAAATTCATTGTCAAAGTTTTAATTTCATTAAATTCTTTTTAAAATCCAACTTTAATAGGTAACAGAATTTATCTTCAAATTATAATTTTATCAAATCTTTAGCTAAATTTGATTCAAACTTGTAGGAGAGGGTTCAAGAAAAAGAGTTGGAAAATTCGAAGATCTTCGAAGATCCTTGAAGAACAACTTCGAATTCTCTAGAATATGATGAGAGGCTTAGATTCTTCAATAATCTCAACTTAGGAACACAACAACAAAGGAGATGATGGAGATAAGAGATTGGGTGAAGAAGAAGGCAAAATGGCTAGAGAATAGAATAATGGCAAGGCTCTCCCATGGATCTCCCACTTTCACTCTCAAGGTTGATAATGGAGAAGGGAAATTAGTTCTTTCCCAAGAGTTAAAAATCTCCAAAATCCATCCCTTGTAAAGCTATGGGTGGGTGCTATTTATAGGCACCTCATGATGTAGGATGGAGCCCATGTGCAAGGCACATGGGAGATATTCTCTCTAACCACCTTGTCCGAGGAGGTGACCTCTCCCGCATAAAACTTATGGACTTTACTGTTCACAGATATCCAACTGCACCCAGGTTCCTTCTTCACACCTCGCTCTTTCATTAGTTTTCTCATACTAATTCCATCCCTAAAACTTCCCACCTCCATGTATGTGTTGGATAAAAGAACATACGTAGCTGAATAATCTGGTCGAATGGAAAGGATCTTCTTGGCAGCAATCTCTCCCAGCTCAACATTGTTGTGGACCCTGCACACTCCTAACAATGTCTGCCAAATCATATCATTTGGTTCAATTGGCATTTTTTGTATAAATTCCAAGGCCTCATTTAGGCAGCCTGCACGACCTAAGAGGTCAACAATACAAGCATAATGCTCCATCTTGGGAACCACACCATACGTTTCCTCCATCAATCGGAAATAGTAAAGGCCTTCTTCTACCAAGCCACCATGGCTACACGCAAACAGAACACACAACAATGAAACAGCATTAGGTTTAATACCAAACTGTTCCATCCCTTTGAAAAGATGAAGGGCATGACCCACATAACCATGTTGGGCATAACCTGATATAATAGCAGTCCAAGAAACCATATCAGGGTTAGAAATGCTACTGAATACATTCTCTGCCTCTGTTATGTTGCCACACTTAGCATACATATCAATCAATGCACTTTCTACACACTTGTCAGTGTCCAAACCAGCCTTGAACAGAAGGCCATGGACTTGCCGACCAAATTCAAGAAAACTAAGGGCAGCACAAGCGACAAACACACTAGAAAAGGTAAACTGATTGGGTGTAAAGCCTTCTTTCTTCATCCTAGAGAAGACGGCCAGTGCTTCCTCCCATTCTAAACAATTAGAGTAAGCAGTCAATATGGTGGTCCAAGACACTACATCTCTGTCTTCCATTCTGTCAAAAACCTTCCTTACATCTTCAAGGGACTCACATTTGGCATATGCATCTGCAATTGCATTGTTAATACTTAAGAACATCAAATCATTCCCTGACTTCAAAATCTTCCCATGAACTTCCCTCCCAAACTTTAAACACTTTAAATCTGCAATTGTATTAAACACACTACAATAAGTGTAAACATCAGATTTTACATTGTTTTCACACATTTTAACATACAATTCCAAAGCTTCTTGACTACACCCACATCGTGAATAGCCTGAAATCATTGCATTCCATGGCATGTTCACTTCGCAATTGGTAAAGTTCATATCGAAAACAGATCTTGCACCAGATAAAGCCCCACAATTTGAGTACATATCAACGAGGGCAGTTCCAACAAGAACATTAGACTCCATACCCAATTCGGAGACACACTTGTGAACTTCTTTGCCTTTATCAGCATCACCTAAATTCCCAACTGCCTTCAGAACAGCAATAAAGGAGTACGTATTTGGAGTGAATCCTTCCCTCTTCATTGCAAGAAAATAATCGAATGCTTCAACGTGATGACCATTTGATGTAAATCCTGATATTATTGCATTCCAAGAAACTTCATTATGTTCTGTTGTGGTGTTGAATAACCGACATGAATCCTCAACATTCCCCAATTTCATGTACATGTTAAGGAGAGATGTACTAACAAAAACATGCTGTGCAAAGCCTCGTATAACAATATGGGCATGCACCATTCTACCCAAATCCACACAATCTAGACCAATGCATAATTGAAGAATAGCAGAGTAAGTAAATCCATCGGGCCATATTCCACAATCCTGCATCTCACAAAAGTACTTCAACCCATCATTATATAACCCATGCTCAGTTGAACCCACAATCACAACAGTCCAAGAGAAAACGTTTCTCCGAGACATTTTATCGAACACTTCACGGGCAGCCCTAAAATCCGAGCATTTTGAATACGCGTAAGCTACATGATTGAGTAACACTAACAAGTCTTTATCCGAAAATTTAGATTTCAAAACGAAACCATGAACTATTTTTGTTTCTCTTACAGACCTTTTCTCTGCACATTGATGTAGGAGATCAACCAAAGCTTGGGTTTGAGTCTGTTGGCGAGTTTCATAACTAGCACTTGACTCTGTAATTTTGCTTCCATAGACTCCATCGACGTTTTGGGTAGTTGGAACTGGTAAGGTCGCTGTAGAACATCTAGTCTGCCATTGATTTTTGGTATTGTCATTAAATCGTCAGATAGCACAAACTTAATTGGCATTTGAGAGAGAGACAGA